CTTCTTTAAAGGTTTTTTTTTTTTTTTTAATCCTTTGATGGGTTGATTAGATCCATACTTAAAAACACAGGAAAGACTGGTAACTTGGAAGTTTATATAAAATGGAAGGGTCACTATATGATTCACCACAAAAACTAAAAAACCAAACAATGTTTGGGCATTTTTCTGGTTCATGGTCAAAGCAAACAGTGAGTCCTTGTCCCTGCTTCCACCTCTACCAGGGCTGCAAACCAAAGGCAACCACCCCAGAGCAGGATGTTTACTTCTTAGAATCTCACTGGATGCCTGCTGTCTGCTTCCCACCTGAAATCACAAGAGAACAGACTCACGGCAAAGGAAAACGACCGGCACTTGGCCATTCCTTGCCTTACGCACAAGACAGTGCCTCAGCTCGGCTCTTTATTTATACCCATGGTGAGCAGCCGGGATGTCACAATTAACAATAAGCAAACCAAAGCCTGTCTATTCGTCTTCCTTTCAGTTTTTTTTAAGTCTGGTTACACAGCCTTTCCAACAGAGAAGAGCAGTCAAGAGTACCTCTCCAAAGTTCAATAAAATATTTGGGCCCTATCTCTGTTTAGGTTTCTGATGTTCATTTTCATTTTTTTAAAAAGACAAGAAAAACTAACCAAATTTTATCATGGAACGTGAAAGAACCTCAAAGATTCTATGCTCTAAGCCTTATTCTTTAGATGAAGAATCTGGAACTGAGAGGGGTAGAGCAACTAAGCCAAGGCCACATGGCTGGCAAGTGACAGGGTGACAAACAGAAGCTGGAATCTGAGATCTCCAGGCAGCTTATCCAGGCATTCCCACCCTCCAGGTGGCTCATTCCAGACCATCTCAGCATTTCATTTACCTATTCATCAAAAAGAAGCTGAATGAATGAATTTCCAAATAAACATGCTTAGATGTACCTAAAGGCAGTTTTCACTTGCAGACAACAGCCTCAACATTATAGAGCAGGCACTATTATTACTATGATGATGATTATTACCAGCAAGGCACTACTGATATTGAAGGTCAGCTTGTTCTTGCAGGGCGGGGGTTGTCTTGTGCATTCAGGGTGGTTAACAGCTCTTCTGACCTCTACCAACTAAATGCCAGTAGCTTCCCCAATGAAGCTAAGACAAACAGAACATCTCCCAGCATCGCCAATGTCCTCTGGGGGACACAGTCACTCCATTAAGAACCCACGCCATAGCCACTCCTCCTGCACACCTCCGCTACCAAGAAGCCCTCCAGCACTGCCGCAGTCAGATGCCAGAGGCATCCCTGGGGTGGCCGAGAGATGTGAGGAATATACAGATAGGAGAAGCTGCTTCCCTGGTTTCCTCTCAGAAAGACAAAGAGTGACCTGAGCCTTCCCAGAAATGGAAAATTCCACAAGGATAACTTGTGAAAAAACAGAGCAAAAAGATAACGGTGAAGTGGAATAAAAAACAATTAAAGGAAAAGTGAAAGAAAGGAAAACGGAAGGAAGAAAGAGGTCACCAGTAAGATGGGATTTAGACATTCCAGAACTTGTAGGACAGAGCAACCCATTATGAAGTAAAGTGGCATATTCTTATCAGGCGTAATTTTTTAAAAAGGCAGCTCAGTCTGAGGAAAAGGGTCAAGAACTTTCCACCGAGTCACTGTGCAGCTCTGGGAAAGGACCATTGTCCCCAGATGTCAGACCCCTCAGGGGAGTTCTGTGAAGCTCTTTGTTGAAACCTCGTGTGCTTAAAACTCCGAAGCCCTTTAAAACAGCTTAGCTGGAGTTTCACAGTAGTGTTCCTGGTGTACAAAGAATTTCAGTGGGACTTTGAAATAATGAACATGACTTTTCACACCAGGTTAAAATCAATTTTCTTAACCGCTACTTCCCTAAACGTATTGAATCTCAAAACATCCCCTGGGAAACAAGAAAGCTCTGGATACAGTTCAGACTGTCACTCTTGTTGGAGTGTTCAGGTGGCTAATTGAATGGTAGCTCCAGATTTGACTCAGTTCCAAACATGCGGACAGCCACATGCTTATGTCGGATCTGTCCCAGGTCTAGGTTACTCGACAACTTGGCCACTCAGTTCTAACAGTATCTCTTCTTCTGCATACACTCAAATGCCCATTATAAAAAGGATCCTTTTTTAAAAAAAATTAACATTATAGTTATGCATAGTAGTTGTGTTCATTTTGACAAAATTATACCTGCGTGGAATTTGATTTCAATCCCTTTCTCTCCCCGTTCTCCTATTCACCTTCCTCTACTGATCTTTCTTTTGCTCTTTATTTATTTTTGATTGGTATTGTCTCCATAAAGATGGAATTCCCCGAAGTATATTTATATATAACATAATGTGAATTTCTTAATTCATTCCACATTTCCTCCCCTTTTCCACCCCTCGTCCTTCCTTTGCAATCTCCTTCTTTTACTCCATTGATCTTTCCCATATCAGAAAGAAAGAAAGAAAGAAAGAAAGAAAAGAAGAAGAAGAAGAAGAAGAAGAAGAAGAAGAAGAAGAAGAAGAAGAAGAAGAAGAAGAAGAAGAAGAAAGAAAAGCCTCCTTTAAAAAATCTTTTTAGTTTTCATGGATAAACAAAAAAAAAATTTGAACATATCTAGTCCTATGATTTGTAAACTCTAAAGTGCTTAGAAATCACTTCACCATTTTGCTAAAACACAGATTTTAATCCAGAAAGTCTGAGTGGAGCCAGAGATTCTGCATTTCTACTGAGCTCCCAGGAGATGTGGGTCTGTGGTCACACTGAGTAGGAAGGCTCCAAGTTGAGTCCTTTCTGGAAAGCCAGCCCTCTGACGGTACTGTTTCTCTGAGACTGACCTCCCACTGCCCTCCAGGAAGTCCAAACTCTCTCACAAGAAATCAAAGCCCTTCATGACATAATTTCAACCTGGCTTCACCTCCCTGAATTTCTCTCACCCAACACGCACATCACAAAGCGACCATACCAATTCTGTGTTGTTCCCCCAAATTCCAGCACACCACTTTTCCCTGGCCTGGTCCTGCTGTTCCCTCTGCTGGGCTGGCTCCACCCCCAAGTCTTGCCCATCCTTCAAGGCCCAGCTCGATGTCACCTCCTTCCAGAGGGTCCCCAGCTCTCTAGGAACAATGAAATTGTTCCTCCTGCCACACTGGTACACTTGGCATTCACATTTATATGTCACTGTGTCTGTTTTTCACAATAAAATTATAAAACTACATACACAACGTCTAACTCAGGAGTTTTGTTTACATGGTTGATTCCTGAAGGAAGGAGTCCATCAGACTCTGAGAGTTAAAAATTCTATGGAATTCCCACCCCCCGACTTTTGGCCCCCAAATAAAGGAATATTGAACAGAGGTTTGGGGCACCAGCACATACATCCTTCTACCCAAGAACACCACTCCCAGGGCCCAGCCCTGCATCAGGGTGTTTCCTTAGCATCTCCCCGACCACCCTCATCACCACAAACATGCTCCCATCTTTAAAAATACACGTGAACCGTGAAAAAACTCTCTTTTCTCTCCACATCACCCTCTAACCAGTTTCTTTATTCTCCTCTACAGCAAAACAACTTCTTGCTGCCCCCACTAGGTCCCCTCTGTCCTCTCCTGGCTATACCTGCAGCCACCCAAACTGCACTCAYCAAGGGCCGTGGAAGCCGCAGCTCTGCAGAGCCTAAGTCTCTCTCACCTGATCTGCAGGGGCACTATGCACCAGGAGCCTGCTGGGGCACAGCTTCCCTTCTTACTTCTCTCCTCCCACTGCCCCACAGCTGCTCTATTCCAGTTTCTTCTGCCAGACCCTCTATTTCCCTAACTCTAAACTCTGTGGGACCCCAGGCTCAGTCTTTGGACCTTCTCCTCTCTCTCTGCCCTTAGGCCCCATGAAGTCAGTTCCACGGCTTTAAATACCCATCTACAAACTAGTGAAGCCCCAATGCACACCTCAACTCAGACCTCCCCTGAATCTGCTCAGCCAATTAACACGTCCAGGGCTAACTCATCCTCACACGCTCCCCCGGATCCTGCTCCTCACCAGCACGTCTTGTCTCCTGAAGCTGCCTGTTCTATGAGCTGCTGAAACCACAACCCTTGAGCATCCAGGCCTCCTCCTTCTGTCCCATGAAGCCTATTCACTACAGCACATCCTGCACCATCGGCMACACTCCGCAGGAACACAGCAAGCAGCTGCGGGGTCACTGCTCAGATCCACACCACCATTAACACTTGCCTCTGCCCTTGCAAGAGTCTAAAACAAGTTCCCTGCTCCCTCCTGTGACCCATACCCATTGTCACAGTCTGCTTTCCACACAGAGCCAGAGCAAACCTTGTCAAATGTAAGTTAGGACACGGCACTTGTCTCAAAACCTTCTAAGTGCTTCTTACCTTCCTCAGAACCAAATCCAGCATCCTCTCCCAAGGCCTTCAAGTCCTCGCGAGATCTGGACCCACTACCTTACATCTCAACCCCTGCAACTGGCCACTGCTCGCTCTGCCTTCCTGTTATTTCTCCAACACTGTCCCTGCCTCAGGCCTCTTCTACRTATCCTCCTGGCTCTTCACAAGGCTTAGCCCACACCTCAGTCACCTCATTCAGGTTGCTCAGTGTCACCGGGTCAGAGAGCCCTTCCTGCACCCTATGGGGAATCAAGACCCATCAGGAACCAGCCCCCACCCCACCCTGGCTTTGTCCTTTTCACTTTTTGAGCTTCTTCTTCATCTGTCCTTACTGAAGTTTAAACAGAACTAAGGCCTTTTCATTGTGTTCACTTGTTTATTTGATATCCCTTAGTGCAGGGCCTGGCGAACAATGCGTGCACAATACACTTCTACTGGATAAGTAAATGCATGTTGTTAGAAGACAAGAATAAATAATAAATCTATGCCCCTATACATTATGGAAAAAATCATGGCAGCAGCACTCCAAGGGAACAAGGACCTGCACTAACCCACATTCTTTTCTTTTAAAACATTTCTTAACTGAGGGCTAGTGATGCAGAGGAGAGAGCCACTCACTTCCTGAGCACCGTCCTGGACTCAGATGAACTTTGGCTCCCATCTTCTTCACAGCTTGGGCTTGTCAGGTTTCCATACCTTCAGAGACAAAAACAAGTAAACAGAAATGGTCAACAGCATCAGAAAGCTGCTCTATTCAACTCCGCCAGCATGATAACATCACATTGTTAGAGCAATTAAGGAAAGAAATATTTATGAAATAGCATCAAAAACAATGCAGTATTATCAAGAGATCCTTCAGGATACCCATTATATACTCCGTATATTCTAAACAGAAAAGTAATTTAACAATTGCACCATGGAAAACTTTCTCTTAATATTGACTGTTTCTCTGATTTTGCAGACTACAGCAGGTTTTTCCTCTCAGCAGAAGAATCAAATATTACGTGATACAAAACAAGCTGCTTTGTCCTGACATCTGTCACAAGCCCGCCGTACACCCCTGCCCTGTGCATATCTGCTGAGGGACACATGGTTCTGCGGGCACTGACTCTGCGTTCTAGCCACTCAGCTTGGTCTGAGGCTGATCTCCTTGAGGTGTCTGTTTGGAGAAGGATCATGGAAATAACTGTGGCCTCAAGTAAAAGCTGACAGAGAGGAGGGCTAAAGAACCGAGCTCTCGAGCTGCGGCCTAGGGAGAGCAGCTGTGGAGACGTGAGCCAGGCCATCCAGACACAGAAACGGAAGAAGGAGGCCCAGGGATCCAATTTTTTGGAAAGTAATAGCTGCTTAGATTTTAAAATTTGGCTCGTTACAAACTCAAATGTTATTAAACAAGCTGATTATACTATTAGTTATTATTCCAAGTTAACATGTAAGCAAACCAATTTCATATAAGTATGTCTCTCCTGGTTCTGAATGTACATTTAGTAAATTCACATTGAATTCTTAAGGAATCTATCAACATACAATGCCAAGACTATTTCTGCAGTTTCACCTTCCATCCATAAAGAATTCAGAGTCCCTATAGTTTTAAAAGCTGGTAGTCTGTCCCTAGGTTTTAACAACAGAAATTCTATAATTGGTGGGTTTACATTTTTAAAGAGCACACTTTTGTCTTCGACTAATGAGATTAAAGGCCCCAGTACCCTTATGGTTCCTTTTTCCTAGGATTTACAAATCCTTTTTAAAATAAAAGCCCACCATCTGGTTTGACCGACTGCCAGTCCATCTGGTATCCCCATCACCCATCCCGTAGGTTCCAGCATGTGCCCTTAAGCACTACGCACCCCCGCCACCTGCTCCTTTCTCTAGTTCATCAGCCTTATGGATTTCTTGGCTTCCTGAAGGTATTTTCCACTGGTCTCTGCCTTCCATGCTCCCCTTCATTCTGCCCTACACCTGCCATTTACAGGATTTCCAAGACTACCCTTTGCTCTTCCTGAGATAAAAAAAAAATTCAGTCAGGTTAAGATTTACTCAAACTCATGTGAGCAAGACAGAATGGGAAATGAGAATCCTAGTAAATAAACAAAGTGGGGGTTTTGGCTCTGTCTTTGGCCACCATCATAGCAAACCGTGTCCTCATGTTCTCTCACAATAGCTTTGTGGTTTATTAAAGTTGGGGTGGGTGCAGTGAATTGGGRGATCTTGGAAAGCCACTGGACCTCCCATCTATCTGACTCAAGTGACCCTAAACTCTTTTCCTGCCAGCCTTCCATGACCAAATATGCAAGTTAATCTCTTTTTTTGTCACATTAATTAGTCCATTCTCTCTCTCCCTGCCCCACCCTCGTTATTTTGGAAGTAACTTTTATTTTCCAACTGGAAGGCTCAATGAGAGATAGAAATAAAGAAGGAAAATTCTTATGAGGAAAAGATTCTCATTTTACTGTTCCTGATAAGTTTCTTTTCTAATAAGTTTGTACTAAAATCTTCCAGATCTTCCTATTCTTTGTCTCTTGCTCTTTTCCTGCACTGTTCAGGCTCGGGGCTGAGGTGCAGGTTTAGATAGCACCAACACCCATCACAGTTCCTCTCCAAGGCTGCAGTGCCAGGATGGATGACCAGATAGTACCAAGAAAGACTCAGCAACCACACTGGTAAGCAAAGTTCTTGCTCACGGATGGACCTGGAACCATCTGCAATGACTCAGAGAATCACATGAGTATGTCTCTTGACTACCAGAGCGTCTGCAGGTTCACAACCAGGCTCAGAGTGACCACTCAATAATAACTGGGAGACCTGTCAGAGACACCAACAGCAAGGCACATGTAGCAGAGCAGATGGTCCAACTGTCCAGGCTCAGATCTTGCATACTTCCTTGACTCTTCACGAGCAACCCATCAGGAAGCCCTTTTGTCTGGGCCTTTATTTCTGTTTCCACCCTGGTTCAAACTAGCTTAGACCAATGCAACAGCAACTAACTAGTCTATTCTCCTGGCTTCTGCCCAGCGGCCCTGTAATCAGATCATGTCAATGCTCCATTCAAAACCTCCCATGACTTCCATCTGAAAAAAGGCTAAAGTCTCCATCTCACAAGGCCCTAAATGATCTGCCCAGTAGCTCTGCACCTGTCTCTCACAAATTCCCCGTATTCACCCCCTTCCACCCACTGCCCCCAATTCAACAGGCCATACCTCCTCCCACGCCTGTGCCAATGGCTGGCCCCTCAGCCCACAGGTCTTGGTGCAAATGCTACCTCACTAATGAGGCTTGCTAGTAGGTTGCTCCTTGTTAGCACAGATTGGCCTTTGCAAAAGCACCTTGTGGCCTTATGTTTTTACTAGTTCCCTAGCCTGTCTGTACTTTCATTTCTAAAAGGGCTTTAAGAGAGCTGTGATTATTCAAAATATCTGAAATTAAGACTAAAAAGTTTTAAGATTTTTAAAGCTGAGATATTGAAGGTATAAGCAGTATGAAAATGCAAAACTACATACACTATTACAAAGGAGACTTCTGGCAGTAAAATAAAATTAAAGAACCTGTGATCCTCTGGAACTTAACAGACTGGGGCAGGGACGATCATTTGCCCTGGCACCTTTCTTATTATTAAGGAGAATTAACATTTTACAGAAATGAAACTAGACTAGTTTTGGAATCCAGAGTTCTCTAATGTTCATCTGAGAGTCAGTTTTACTAGATTAAGAATGTTTCTTTGATGTTTCCCTGAACCCGCTTATAGGTTCCCATCAAAAATCAAATCAAAGTCAAGTTCAGTTCTTTTATACCAGGGGAGTACAAATGGGGTGTGTATGTGTGTGTGTTTAATTAATGGCAGTAGAAAGCTACAAACTTGTCAACAATGTCACCTCCAATTTCTGCAAAGCCTCCCTAGGATTTGAGATCAAAGCCCCAGTCTTTTAAGAAGGCTTACCCACGAACAACTGCCCTTTTTTAAATGGTAACTTATAAAACTTAAATTAAAATACAAACTGTCAGATGACTTTTGACATGGTTTTCTCTGTTATAACAAGGCAAAAGAAAGACTTACAAACGCCTCCTAAAACACAGCTTTCAACCATTATTTACTGTCACCTAAAAATTACCAAAAAAATAAAAGAAAAGCCCAACTTAATGTTTAACTGTGTGCTGATATTTAAACAGGAAAAGAGAATTTCCAAAAGGGATGTATTCTTTAGAGCCCATGTGGGCAGGTGAAATGTTTAATATGAGTTTGAAGGGGAGGACCAGGAACACTTGTGGATCAAAGAATCCTGAGATAAAGTTGTCCCCAGGGGCAGTCTCGCTGGTGGGGGGCCATTCTAGCCCTTGTTCTCCAACAGGAAGGTCTCAGGAGCACCAGACAGCATGGGGGTGGTCCTGAAGAACTTCTCAGGCTCTACTTGAATCCCGCAAATGAACCAATAACAATAGCAGTTAACAAACATTGAGAGCTTACTAYACACCAGGCACCAGCTAAGCGCTCCATGTGGATTGTCTCATTTGATTCTTATKACAACCCTATACGGTGATGTTATTATTCCAATCTTACAAATAAGAGAGAACTTAAGTAATAAACCCTAGAAGACAATGAGGTGGGAATTAGAATCTTGAGTCAAGTTCAAGAGCCTAGCTCTAAGTCATTTCCCCCCCCACCCAAGCAAGAAGGTCCTATTACTTATTTTAACTCTAATCCCTCCACYAAACTCTTTAAGGTTGGAAATCTTAAGGCGTTCATTCTTTCACTATTTGATTCCTTTGCTCATTTATTCCTTATTCAAGTTTATTTATGAAGTATTATATCCAGGTATTATTCTAGACATTAAGAAAATAGTAGTAGCTGGGCACTGTGATACACTCTTATAATCCCAGAGGCACAGGAGGCTGAGGCAGAAGGATCATAAGTTTAGATAGCCTCAGCGATTTTGCAAGGCCCTGTTTCAAAATAAAATATACAAAGATCTGGAGATGTAGTTTAGYGGTAAAGCACCCCTGGATTCTCAGTGGTAAGGCACCCAGTACCAACCCACCAACAAACAAACAAATAAATAAATAAAAGAATATAGTAGCGAAACAAACCAAAGTCCTTGTTTTCATGGGGCATACACTGTAGTGGGGCAGGAGAACGCAAATAATCTAATCACCAGTTATTCTACACTAAGTCAGACAGTGAAAAGTGAAATGGAGAAAAGAAAGCAGAAAAAGGTGTTTGGGCAKGACAGAAGGTCAGAGGTTGCTGTTTCATATGGGTGTCGGGAAGGGTCAATGTGARTGTGATAAATAAGTAGTCTGCAGTAGGTGAAGGAGCAAGCCACACAAATCTCTGAGGAAAGAGCCTTTCAACGTGAGAAGAGCCAGGACAAGGGCTTGGGAACAGTGGCAGGACTGTGCTTTTAAGGGGCATCAAGCAGGCCAGTGAGGCACAGAGCAGAGTAGCAGCGACAGATGGAGATGGCCTGCTGGACCGTGGCAGGGACTTTGCTCTTACTCTCATCTAGCTCACTGCTACCTCCCCAGAACCCAGAGCGGGCAGGCAGTAAATGTCTGCAGAGTGAATCAATTTCCTCTCTATTACCACAAGTGAAAGAAGGGCTGGAAGGGGAAAGAAAGGAAGGAGATGTGACTTAGGATGGCGGGAGAACAGAAAGGGGGGTAGAGACCCCACATGAAGTGGCAGCTCAGGGACCTCTGGGAGT